TGCAACTGTTGGAGCCTGAAAACGTCTCAAGAACAACGCGCGGCCGGGCCTACGGACACATCAGTTGGTCCGACATTGGGGAGGCTTGTAAGGAAGGGAAACGGAAGAGGAAGACCAGTGCAAACTCAAGACGCGTCAATGATGTTGCAATACGCCCGCCCTCCACGTTTCCTCTTCGTAGGTCCCTACAGCAAAAGCAATATCGCTGCAGGAAATGGCCCATTAGAAGACAACCCCCTGAGAGTTCTCAATCGTGCAAAGACACTGTTCCTGGGGCTTTGACGTCGCGGGTCAACGTGATTGCTGCGTCCTGACAACCCTGAGCCGTGCCATAATACTATTCCTATGACTTCAGCACCGCGAATCACCGTGACTGTTGCGTTCAGGCCCTTCTCATTCGTGCCGAAAAAATCGTGCCGACCAAAACACGATTCCTCTGATTTCAACCATTCGAATTCTTGACACTGCTGCGGCATGTTGCAGGCAAGCGGGCGCGGCGCCAGGGCGAGAGCCACATGTTGAGCGGGAGCTGCAACTCATCTGTGAAGCTGATGCAAACTTAAATCACGAATGTGCGCGGCGCTACGGCGAGAGAGCCACATCTTGAACAGGAGCAGCCCTCCATGCGTGAAGAGGTTGCACACTTTTGAAACGAATGTGCGCGGCGCTAAGGCGAGACCCACCTGTAGCAACCGCGAAGCTCTTGCAACCTTTAAAACGGATGTTCGCGGAGCCATGGCGAGGACCACATTTTGACAACCAACCGCCCTCCACCCATAAACTGCTGCAAACTTTTAAAACGAATGTGTGCGGCGCCACTGCGAGTCACATTTTGAAAACCAACTGGCCTCCATCCGTGAAGCTCCTGCGAACTGTGACACCCAATCGCCTGTTGAAGACCAGCCGCCCTCCATGTGTGAGCCTGTGGCGTATTTCAGGGGGGGGAGGTGGAGGAGGAGGTGGTCTTCGGAAGCCGTGTGCAAACCCTGGGTGCTTCGAGGACCTCCGCGGCGGGCGACGAGGACAGCGGAGGCACCGAGGGCGAGCACCTGCGAGGCAAACTCCCGTCGTCACGGCGCGGGCTCGGGCCTCCGGATGCCGCCCAGCGCGCCACCCTCTGCTGCGCGCCCCGCGCCCCCTCCGCCACCCTCGCGGCCTCGCCAGGCCGGCCCCCTCGAGCGGCGACCACGTCCGTGCCCGCGCCCTCGCGGCTTTGGCTTCTGGCCCGCGATCCTGCGGACGCGCGGTCGCGCGGAGGCGTTCCGCGCGGGGCATCCGCGAACAGATCGCCCCGCATCCGCGGGGCCGCGGCCCGAAGGCCCGGCCCGCGAGGCCGCGGAAAACGGAGTTGTCTGCCTGCGCCCGGCCTTCTCCCTCGCACGAGCCGAGGGCTGACTCGGCGTGGCGTTGTGATGGCGCGTGCGTGCGTCTTGAATCCACTGCGTCTGCACAGGCTTCGGTCTAGCTCCGATGTGAAAATGGGCGGCGCGCAAAGGGGGGTGGGGGGGAAGGGGGGAAGGCTTCTTAGAAGCACCCCGCTTCTTGGAAGGCCCCGGCCTTACGTATGCAGAGAAGGCCAGCGCCTTCTAAGAAGCAGGGGTGCTTCTATTGAGCAGGGACCGACCGTGGCGGCATTTCTATAGGCCTACCACGAAATGTTCTTAGAACCCAAACATGTTCCAAAAACAAAAACAATGTGCTTAGAACATAAAACCGATGTGTTAAAGCAAAACCGTCCCAGCCAGAAATGTTATAAGAACATGTCGTGGAAGCCACAAACGGTTCTTAGAACATTCTCTGGTAGGCCTATGGGCGACCCAGGACGCTTCGCCACCGCTTGATTCTAAGAAGCCTTCCCCCCTCCCCCGAACTGGCCATCGCTCGGACGTCCATTCCCTGTGTTTTTTCCGGTTCCGTGCGTGGTTTTTTTTGCAGGATGATCCAGGATGCTCCGTAATAGTCCCCGCCGAGCAACAGTGCACACTGGTTGACAATATTTCTAATTCGCGCGCGCGGAGCGGCCCCTGGGGGCCCCCGGACGAAAAGTACCCCGGCAACTAGCCGGGAGAAGCCCCCAGAGCTCCAGGGGAGGGCCATTTTTCGACACCCCTCACGAGGATCGTGGCCTCCGAAGAAGGAGCCGCAATCGACTACCCACCCTCCTGCCCCAAGAGGCCCTCAAACGCCCCCCAAGAGGCCCTGGGGGCCCCCAAGACGCCGCCAAGGGGCCCCCAGAGACTCCCAAGAGGTCTCCAAGAGGCCCCCGAGAGGCCCTAAAAAAGAAGGCCCCAGGGCCCGCGGAACGAGCGAAGCGATGAAAGAATCCCCGCCGAGCAAAAGTGCACACGTCCGAGCGATACCAAGCCGACCCCCCTCGGGTCGGGCGAAAGGGGGGGATAGCAAAGGGGGGGTTTGAGAATCAGCTCACGTAGCTGATTTTCCCGGCGCCTCCCGGCGCCGGACGCGGCTATGTATCGAGGAATGGGCCCCTCGGTAAGGCCGAAACCAGCTGCATGCAGCAGATTTCGTAACCCCCCCTTTCCCAATCCCCCCCTTTCACCCGGCCCGAGGCCCCCCTCTGCACGTGGCCGGCGAACAGAACGGGCCTCCGCCCGCACGCAGCCCGCCACGGGGCCCTCGCGCCCTCGGCGAGGCCGCCCCTGGAGACGCACAGCGCAGACCCCGCGCTCCGCGCCCTCGCGCCCCGCAGCGAGGCTCTCGCGCGGCCCTCCCCGCGCCCTCGCTCGGGGGCTGGCCGGCGCGAGGCCCTCGCGTTGGCCGCGGCGCGCGGAGCGCGGGCACCTCCCCGCCCCCCGCGGGGGAGAGCCCGCGGCTGCCGCCGCGCCGCGGGGGCCGCGCCGCCCCCCGAGCGGGTGGCGTCCGAGCCGCGGGGGCGTGCCACCGCAGGGCCCGCCCGATGGGCCCAGGCCCCCTCGGAGCCACGAGCGAGGCCACGGCGGGGAGGCTCTTTGGTGGCCTCCGGGGCCTCCGACGCGTCGACCTCGGGCGGGCGAAGGGCCGCGCCGGGCACCGGGGCGCACCGGAGCGGGCGGCGGAGCAGATGGCGGCCGCGGAGGCAGAGGAGAAAGAAGGCCCGGGCCAGCATTAAGTCGTGCCTGTCCCCCTACAGGGGGACTTCCGACGACGAATTAAACATACACCAATAATAATAATAATAATAATAATAATAATAATAATAATAATAATAATAAATAATAATAATAATAGAAAAGTAGTCCAAGAATAGTCTGGGGATTATGTTTTGAATATGTTTTACCTTTTTGGGGCATTTTTGGTGTATTTGTTCATCGAAAATCCCTCTGTAGGGGGACACGCCCGACATAAGGCCAGCACTCAGAAAGCAGCTAGCTGTCCGATTCCGTCGTGGCGCCAGCTTCGGAGGCCAGGCCCAGGGATCGCCGGGCCGCTCCCGAGCCAGGCGCGCCCTGGCCGGAGGCGGCCCAGGCCGAGGGAGGGGGGGAGGAGGGGCGAGCGACGCCAGTCGCGGCGAGAGGTGCAGACGGGCCAGAGAGCAAGAACGGGCCAGGCGCACCGAGCCGTGTGCAGATGGGCTCGGAGCGGAGACGGATGTGGGTACATCTCTCCCGCAGGCGTCGGAAAGCTCTTCATATCGAGCGCTGCCCGAGAGCCTGAGGGGCAGGTCTCTCCAAATGAACAACAGGGTAAACATGTACTTTCGGAGCCCCGCGCGTATTTCTTGGATCGGCGCTGGACCCCCCTCACTGGCGCGCGGAGCGCGCCAGAGGGGCGGCGCCGAAGGCGCCGCCAGGGGGGCCCAGCCCCGATCCAAGAAATCCGAACGGACCTCCGAACATTGGTGTTTACGCATTTGTTTTGCCATAACCTCTACATCGGTGGGTGTGGAAACAACCTGGGCGTGGAATCATGCGGAGGTGCCAAATCCATGCGTGGGCCCCTCGGCTCTCGACCGAGCCCCCGGGGCCCGGTTCTTCCTGCTGGATAGTTTGTGTTGACGGCTCCATAGCCTGGAAACAGCAACATGGCATCGGCATCGAAGAACAACGCCGACACATCACATACCACATCAATTCTCTGGGCGGTCCAGGGAGGATGATGATAATGAAAGGACGGGGGCAACAAACAGGGGGCGCTCGCTGGAATTGAGATGAACGGAAAGGGTCTCACCCGCTTCTGCGTGTTAGGAACCACCGAGACACGCACACATCCCCACAAGCAAATATTCGCCACATATACTGTCCCGAAGCTTCGCCAACACATAATAACCACGTTCTGGTCGCAAAAGAGGCTGGCACACAACGCATTCGAGTAGTGCATCTACATGAGTTTCGAAGTAACACGTGCACGACGTACTTGAATGTGCCGCTCAAGCAACCCCCCTGGAACTGGAGCTTGCAGGGGTCCGTGGTCAGTCTCCAATGCAAATACCCCTATAGCAGCAACTTGCCAGCATCAAACCCGCGGCTAGGTGCAAGTAGCGACCGCACCCAATTGGACAGCACACGAATCATTCACACAACTTTCACAGACGCAGCACATGTCCCAAACGCGCAATGTTGTCTTGCTGTGTTGCCCGTTTGCTGTTCGAACTATTTTGCTTCCTAGGTGTTCGTTTGAGTGATTCCCTTTCTCTCTCTCTCGATCTTCTCTATTCTCTCTCTCTCTCTCTTCTCTTCTCTTCTTTATTTCTCTCTATCTCTCTTCCCCCTTCTCTCTGTCTCTCTTCTCTCGCTTTACCCTCTCTCTCTCTCTTTCTCGCTCTTTCTCTCTTCTCGCTCTCTCTTATCTCCTCTCTTCTCTCTCTCTTTCTCTCTCTCTTTTCCCCCACCCGGTCCCTGCATCACCCTCCCTCACCTCCACTTCCCCTTCCCATTCCCCCTCCCCTGCTCTCCCCCCCTCGTTCATCCCATCACTTGATGTTGTCCTTTTCCTTCCTTCTCTTCCCTCCTTCCGTCGCTCCATCCCTGAAATCTTACCCTCTGCCACTGAGCCCTCCCCGCTTGTCGGCTCTGAGAGCGCTCGACGCGTGCTTCAAGTCGGTGCCATCTCTGGCCACGGCAGCACAAACAACTTGACGGTCAGCCCTGGCAGCGACACCCGTTTACCGCAACACCTGCCCACATCAGCCAACCTGCCACTGCCACAACACTTGACGCCCATGAACAATTTCGCTTGCCACCGTCCGCTCTGAACTCATCCGCCCTCTTCATTCGTAGATCGGAAACCCTGAACCAACAAACCTCAGCATCTCTTGGATGGCACATTTTTTCATTCCCGCTAGCTTCCACCAACTTCCCGCCAGCTTCCAAGAAGCCTCGTTCTACTTCCGTCGCCTTGCGCCGAGGAAGAGATGTCAATTCCTTCGATTCTCGAAGGCGAGGCCCTTTCTGGAACGCCTCATGCGTGAGTCGAGGGATTGCTGGACAACTTGCTCTGACGCGTCAAGTTCACACTGCCATGGGAGCGCCTCCACCCGCTGAGCTTCCTGTTCGAGCTGGTGGCCATGATTAATTTGCAAAGCATGGTGCGCCACGACCTTGGCTCTAGTTCTGACGCTGGCAAGGCGCATGTGGCCCATTGCCACGCCACGCTCCCTCTGCCCTACCTTCTCTACGACACCTCTAAATGATTGCTGCGCGTCGTCCACGGACCCTTCGTGGGAATCGAACAAACGCTGAGATCGGCGTCCATACCCGAGCGTCGACTCCCAGATTGAGCTTGGCCATGCCAATCCACGACACGTATGGCGTGCCCCTGACGAGCATCGCGTCGGTGCGGTTCACCCTGCCTGCATTGGGGCGTTTCAGAGGACGCGAAACCACAAAACACATGTAAACGCGTACTTGCTCAGAGAACCCCGCTCTAGGTAACAACCGCGACGAAACGGAATGAGGGCGAGTGGGTTTCAAAATGTGGCTCTCGCCTCAGCGCCGCGCGCATTCATTTTTCAACTTTGCAAGAGTTTCACGGAACATGGGCGGGTCGTTTTCAACATGTGGCTCTCGCCTTAGCGCCGCGCGCATTATTTTTTCAAATTTTGCAAGAGCTTCACGGATTGAGGGCGGGTGGTTTTCAACATGTGGCTCTCGCCTTAGCGCCTCGCGCATTCATTTTAAAACTTTAAAATAATTGAATGTGTTGAGGGCGCTTCCTTTTCAAACTGTGGCTCTCGACTTCGCGCCGCGCACATTTGTTTTAAACATTTGCAAGAGTTTCACGGGTTCCCGTCATCACCGTACCAACAATGGTGTTCCGGACGGATTCTGGACTATGCGAGTGCAACCGTTACGTTGGTTCGCAGTGTCGTTAAGGCTCAGGAATGGCGTTCTGGCACGACTCAGGATCGTCAAGACGCAACAATTGGGTTGATTCGTAGCGTTGAAATCCCGAGAACAATGTTTTGGCGTGCTTCCGGGTCTTCAAACGGTTGTCTTCCAACGAGGCAGCTCCCTCAATGGAAATGAACCGTTGTAGGGGCCTGTGAAGAGGGAGCTTTGAGGGAGAGTTTATTCCAATACATATTGATGACTCCTGGGTTTGCACTGGTCCCCCTCCTCCTCCTCCTCCTCCTCCTCCTCCTCCTCCTCTCCTCGGTCCCATGCCAGGCGCAATAGATCCCTCAGGCGTCCAAAAGAGGGCCCCAAGACAGAGAGCTCCATGACGGCTCTCGAAGGTCCAAAGACGGTCCAAAGTGGCCCAGCCTTCAAGACTGCCCCACAGGAGCCCGAGAAAGGACGGACGAAGGGAGGAAGACGACGAAGACGAGAAGATGAACCCCGACACGACGCGGAAGAGTGTCACATGTCCAGGCTCCCCCAAGCACGGGAACACGAGGTGCCACAGGTGACGGCCTCCAATGACCCCCGCCCCGAAGAGCCGCCACCCGGAATGACGAGACTTGCCGCAGGCAGCTGAATAGCTGATCACGTGGACCTCTCGACCCCTCCCGCAGGGGGCAATGTCTCCTCGCGGATACCTTTTGGATGTCTCTGAAGAGCGGAAACGGCTCCCAGGAACCAAGAACTGCGACAAAAACGTACGGCAGGTTCGTGTCGTGCCGACCCCAGCGTTGGTTTTTGACACCGCAGGGATCGTTCAACCTTGAACGATCGGCCGCTGCCGCAACGTCCGATCGTTCCACGTCGACCGATTCTAGTTCGCCAGCGGCGTTCAACCTTGAACGCCCGCGCTGGGGTCGCCGCTGGTCGACACGACGCAAACCTACCGTACTTCTCGCGCGATGTTTTCCAGTCGCCCTGAACATGAGGAGGAGGAAGAGGAGGAGGAAGAGGAGGAGGAGGACGAGGAGGAGGGAGGAGGAGGAGGAGGAGGAGGAGGAGGAGGAGGAGGAGGAGGGAGGAGGAGGAGGAGGAGGAGGAGGAGGAGGAGGGAGGAGGAGGAGGAGGATGACTGGGCCCTCCTCTTCTCCGAACACTGGCGCCCTTTTGGGACTCTCCCGGGGCGGCGCGCGCTCTGACGAGAATCCCGAGGCGGACCTGGCCGTGGCCGCGCGGACGCCGAGGCCAGCTAAAATCGTAAACAAATCGTGCACAGCCCAATCCTCCTCCTCCTCCTCCTCCTTCTCCTTCTCCTTCTCCTCCTCCTCCTATTTCTCCTCCTCCTCCCCTCCTCCTCCCTCTCCTCCCCTCCTTGTCCTCCTCCTCCTCCTCCTCCTCTCCCTCTCCTCCTCTCCTCCTCCTCCTCCTCCACCTCCTCCTCCTCCTCCTCCTCCTCCTCCTGCTGCGGCTCCTCCTCCTCCTCTCTCTTCCTCCTCCTCTTCTCCTCCTCCCTCCTCCTCCTCCTCCTCCTCCTCCTCCTCCTCCTCCTCCTCCTCCTCCTCCTCCTCCGCTGGTGGACTGGGGCGTGTTGTGTCGGGTCGTGCGCGCGCACACGCGATCCGAAGCCCCCGCAGATCTCGGGGAGTTGACAGGCCCCCGAAAGCCTCCGGGGGCCCTCGCCGCCGACGCCGCCCGTCGTCCGTGACGCGGGCCCATGAGCTTCTCGGCCCCATCTGGGGCATGGCTTCCTCATCGCGGATCTGTTCTCGGCGGCCCCGGGGCGCCAAGCGAGCCTCCGGGGGCCCAGAGTTGGGAAGCAGCGGCCGTCTCGATCTTCTCGTGGCGCCGGGGCTCCTCCTGCTCCTCCTCCTCCTCCTCCTGCTCCTCCTCCTCCTGCTCCTCCTCCTCCGCCTCATCCTCCTCCTTCGCCTCCTCCTCCTGCTCCTCCGCCTCCTCCTCCCCTGGGGAGGCAAGGGCAGAGGACGGCAGGTCTTCGAAGACCTCCAGGAGCCTCTGGAAGCCTCCCAAAGTCCCTGGAGCCTCCGACGATCTCAGGAGGCCCTCGGGGGCCTTCGGGGGCGCCCGCGAGGGCCTTCGCGAGGGCCTCCGCGGACGTCCGGAGGCCTCCGCGAGGGCCTCCCGCGGACGGCCTCCCCTTGCAAAAGGACCTCCGAAGGCGCGTCCAGAGGCCTCCGAAGGCCCGCGCCCCCCGCGCAGGGCCGCCGCGGCAGGGCCAGGCGCCTGCAGGACGGCGGGGCGTGCTCCAGGGCGTCGCCTGCCGCGGCCCCTCCGCCCGCACCCGCCGCGGTTGTGCGGCGCGATCGGGCGGCCGCCGCCGCCGGTCGTCGCCGCTGGTCGTCGCCGCTCGTCGCCGCTGGTCGTCGTCGTCGTCGTCGTCGTCGTCGTCGTCGTCGTCGTCGCCATCGCCGTAGTCGCCGTCGTCGTCGTCGTCGTCGTCGTCGTCGTCGTCGTCGTCGTCGTCGTCGCCGTCGCCGGGGTCGGGCGTCGTCGTTACCGCTGGTCGTCGTCGTCGTCGTCGTCGTCATCGTCGTCGTCGTCGCCGCCGGTCGTCGTCGCCGCCGGTCGTCGTCGGTCGTCGGTCGCCGTCGTTCGTTGCAGACAAGGCCTGCGGCCTGCGCTCGGGGGGCCCACCGCTCCGATCGCAGCGCTGCCGCCCGCGCGTTTGCGTGCTGCGGCAAGTGCACCTGGGTCCTCCAATCTCCCCTCCCTCCTCCCTTTCTCTTGCCCTTGCCCTTGCCAATCCTTCCCCCCATCCCTGCCTCCTCTCCTCTCCCCTCCCTCCCTCTCCGCCTCCTCTCTCTCGTCCGTCCTATTTTTTTGGATGAGTTATGACAACTCTTATACCTGAAGCTAATTATTGTTGAGCCCACCTCCGGTGCACATGATGTTTTTCAAGTGAAGTGCGCCTCCAGGGACTCGCACACTGTTTGAACAAGGTGAACTATTGAGCCTCAGACAGACTGCGTTGTTGGTCCCCGGTTCGGCACACCAGCGGTTCCCGCCTGATAGTCCCACGCGAACGATTCAAAATCGTGCTCTCGCGCAGGACTTCCTTACCACTGATCCAGGAATCGCACTCTTGCGGGGTTTTCCTTGGAATTTAATAAGACGCCGCGCCCTCGAAACTCAGGACTCACGCTCCCGCTTTTAGCTTCCTCGCGATTTACTTGGGAATTGCGCTATCGCTCAAACCTACCTCGCGATTCATGCAAGACAGACCGTCCCAACCAGGCCGTTCGGGTCCGCCCGCCAGACCCACTTGTTTGGCCCTGCCGCTTGTTTTCCTGCTCTGCGCCAACTTCACGCGGCAGGTGGTTGAACTTTCACTTCTGAAGAATAAATATTGTTGATCCCCCCCACCTGTGCGTGCTGTTTCTCTAAATCAAAGTGTGCCCCTCGATGCTCGCACCCTGTTTCTTGACAGGGGAAGTCTTGATGCTCAAACTGTGCCCCCGGCCCCCGGGTTACAACAACAACGGCTCCCGCCTGAGACTTCCTCACAATTTAGCCCGGACCCCCGCTCCCGCCCGAAACGCCCTCGCATTTTATTCAGGAATCGCGCTCTCGCTTGGAAGCGCATTACAATACATTCAGGAATCGCTCTCCTGGCGCTCTGGACTCGCGCTCTCGCTGGAGACTTGCTTGCAATCTACTGAAGAATAGCGCCCTTGCGTTGGAATTTCCTGTAATTTGCTCAAACGCCGCGCTCCCGACACCTAGGCACCCAGGAGTCGCGCCTGTTGTGGCCCCATGTGCATGCCCTTTGTGGCCCCGCTGTCGCCGTTTGTGTCCCCCTCATTGCCTTTCGTGGCCCAGTTGATACCCTCAGTGGCCCCGTCGTTGCCTTCTGTGGCCCCGCATTATCTGCCCTTCCTGGCCCCCGCTCGTTCGCGCTCTTCGTGGCCCCATACGCATTCCTTTCGTCCCCGCTGTCGCCCTTCGTGGTCTATTTCGTGCCCTTCGTGGCACTGCTGTCGTTCTCTTTCGCTGTCGCTTTCGCTCGTCGTCGCCGTCGCCGTCGTCGTCGTCGTCGTCGTCGTCGTCGTCGTCGTGGTCGTCGTCGTCGTCGTCGTCGTCGTCGACGTCTTCGTCGTCGTCGTGGTCGGTCCCCTGTCCGTCCCTCTTGGGGTCGGGTCGACGGTCCGCGGCTGCCCCGCCGATCAGCGCTGCCGCTGGCCAGGCCGACGGTTCGCGGCCGCCCCGCCGCTTGCCGGGGCCTGGCCTGCAGGGAAGAAAGGTATACCCCCCACAGGGTTCGATCGAAGACGAAGAGGGCGGGTATCGAGGGTTTGGGAAATAATCGTTATTGGACACTCGAGCAGATAAGGGCGAACATTCTTAAAATGATTGCTGTTGTTGTTGAACTCTCATTTCTGAAGAATAATTATTGTTGATCCCCCCCACCGGTGCACATTGTATTTTTCAAGTGAGGTGCCTTTCTCGGGGCTCGCACCCTGTTTTGATTAGGGAAAAACTTGAAGCTCAAACTGGGCCCCTGGCCCCCGGAATGCAACAACAACAACGGCTCCCGCCTGAGACGTCCTCACAATTTAACCCGGACCCCCGCTCCCGCCTGAGATCCTCGCATGTTATTCACGAATCGCGCTCTCGCTTGTGACTTCTTTACAACTTATTCAGGAATCGCTCTCTCGGCGCTCTGGAGCCACGCTCTCGCTGGAACGGCGCCCTTGCGTTTGAATTTCCAGCAATTTACTCAGGCGCCGCGCCCCCGACACTCAGGCTCCCAGGAGTCGCGCTCACGCTTAGGACTCCCCCACAGATTACTTCGGAATCGGGATATCGCTGCCCTTCGTGGCCCCGTAGCAGCCCTTCGTGGCCCCCTCGCTGCCCTTCGTGGACCCGTTGCAGCCCTTCGTGGCCCCCTCGCTGCCCTTCGTGGTGGCTCGCAGCCCTTCGTGACCCCCTCGCTGCCCTTCGCTGCCCCGTCGCAGCCGTTCGTGGCCCCCTCGCTGCCCTTCGTGGCCCCGTAGCAGCCCTTCGTGGCCCCCCCTCGCTGCCCTTCGTGGCCCCGTTGCAGCCCTTCGTGGCTCCCTCGCTGCCCTTCGTAACCTCGTTGCGCCCCTTCGTGGCCCCCTCGCTGCCCTTCGTGGCCCCGTTGCTGCCCTTCGTGGCCCCCTCGCTGCCCTGCGTGGCCCCGTTGCAGCCCTTTCCCTCTCGCTGCCATCCGTGGCCCCGTTGCAGCCCGTCGTGGCCCCCTCGCTGCCCTTCGTGGCCCCATGTATGTATGCCCTTCGTGGCCCCCGGTCGCTCGCGCCCGTCGTGGCCCCGTGTGCATGCCCTTCGTGGCCCTGCTGTCGCCGTTTGTGTCCCCTTCGCTGCCCTTCGTGACCCCGTTGCTGCCCTCAGTGGCCCCGTCCTTCCTTTCCGCGGCCCAACATACGTATGCCCTTCGTGGCCCCCGCTCGTTCGCGCCCGTCGTGGCCCCATGTGCATGCCCTTCGCGGCCCCGCTGTCGCCGTTTGTGTCCCCCTCGCTGCCCTTCGTGGCCCAGTTGCTACCCTCAGTGGCCCCGTCGTTGCCTTCTGTGGCCCCGCATTATGTGTCCTTCGTGGCCCCCGCTCGTTCGCGCTCTTCGTGGCCCCATACGCATTCCCTTCGTGTCCCCGCTGTCGCCCTCGTGTCCTCCTTCGTGCGCTTCGTGGCCCTGCTGTCGTTCTCTCTTTCGCTTTCGGTTTCGCTCGTCGTCGTCGTCGTCGTCGTCGTCGCCGTCGTCGCCGTCGTCGTCGTCGTCCTCGTCGTCGTCGTCGTCGTCGACGTCTTCGTCGTCGTCGTGGTCGGTCCCCTGTCCGTCCCTCTTGGGGTCAGGTTGCCGCCGATCAGCGCTGCCGCTGGCCAGGCCGACGGTCCGCGGCCGCCCCGCCGCTTGCCGGGGCCCGGCCTGCAGGGAAGAAAAGTATACCCCCCAAAAGGGGCACGATCGACGACAAAGAGGGCGGGTATCGAGGGTTGGGGAAATACGCGCTAACGGACACTCGGGCAGATAAGAGAGAAAAGTTTTAAAATGATTGTTGTTGCTGTTGTTGTTGCTGCTGTTGTTGTTGTTGTTGAATTCTCAGTACAGAAGAATAATTACCCCCAGTGCGAGCCTATACCTAGAAGTTGGAGCCCTTAGGAAAGCTGCATTAGTTGCTATTCTATGCTATGCTATGATATGCTAAGCTGCGCTATGCTACGCTATGCTATGCGATGCTGTGTTCTGCTAGAGCTCAGCGAAGCTAAGATGAATATAAACTAAGCTAAGATAAACCTGGGCTAAGATGAAGCTAAGCTAAGCTAAGATGGAATAAGCTAAGCTAAGAAGAGATAAGCAACGCTAATCTAAGGATGCGTAGCTGGGGGAATCACGGGGCGGATGCCGGGGGAACCGCCCGGGGCGAGCCCCACTGCCCGGCCCTTTAAGCACAGCCAGTAAGAACCCTTCTAGGCAGAGCCTGGGTAGGGAATTATTGTTGATCCCCCTCGGGTGACCATTGTGTCTTTTCAAGTGTAGTGCTTCCCTCGGGGATCGCACCTTGTTTTTAATCAGGGAGAATCACTGGGCTCAAACTGCGCCCCTGGCTCCCGGATTACAAGAACAACGGCTCCCGCCTGAGACTTCCTCGCATTTTACTCCGGAGTCGCGCTCTCGTTTTGGAGATCCTTGCAACTTATACAAGAATCGGTTTTCTCGGTGCTGTGGAACCGCGCTCTCGCTGGAGACTTGCTTGCAATTTACTCAAGCATCGCGTTCTTGTGCTCTTGCAGCCCATCGTGGCCCCCTCGCTGCCCTTCGTGGCCCCGTTGCAACCCTTCGTGGCCCCCTCGCTGCTATTCGTGGACCCGTTGCAGCCTTTCGTGGCCCCCTCGCTGCCGTCGTGGCCCCCTCGCTGCCCTTCGTGGCCCCCCTCGCTGCCCTTCGTGACCTCTTCGCTGCCCTTCGTGGCCCCCTCGCTGCCATTCGTGGCCCCGTTGCAGCCTTCCGTGGCCCCCTCGCTCCCCTTCGTGGCCCCGTTGCAGCCCTTCGTGGCCCCCTCGCTCCCCTTCTTGGCCCCGTGGCAGCCCTCAGTGGCCCCCTCGCTGCCCTTTCGTGGCTCCCTCGCTACCTTTCGTGGCTCCCTCGCTGCCTTTCGTCGCCCCCCGTTGCGCCCTTTCGTGGCTCCCTCGCTGCCTTTCGTGTGGCCCCGTTGCTGCCCTTCGTGGCCCCCTCGCTGCCCTTCGTGGTCCCTATATATGCATGCCCTTCGCTGCCCCCTGTAGTTCGCACCCGTCGTGGCCCCATATGCGTGCGCTTCGTGGCCCTGCTGTCGCCTTTCGTGGCCCCCTCGCTGCCCTTCGTGGCCCCGTGGCAGCCCTCAGTGGCCCCGTCCTTGCCCTCCGGGGCCCAATACACGCATGCCCTTCGTGGCCCCCGCCCGTTCGCGCCCGTTGTGGTCCCATGCGCGTGCCCTTCGTGGCCTCGCTGTCGCCATGTGTGGCCCCCTTGCTGTCCTACGTGGCCCCGTTGCTACCCCCAGTGGCCCCATCGTTGCCCTCTGTGGCCCCGCGTCGCGCCTTTCGTGGCCCCATGCGCATGCCCTTCGTGGCCCCGCTGTCGCCCATCGTGGCCCCCTTCCTGCCCTTCGTGGCCACGTTGGCGCTCTCGCTTTCGCTCGTCGTCGTCGTCGCCGTCGCCGTCGCCGCCGCCGCCGTCGCCGTCGCCGTCGCCGTCGCCGCCGTCGCCGTCGTCGTCCTCGTCGTCGTCGTTACCGTCGTCGTAATCGACGTCGCAATCGTCGTCGTAGTCGTCGTCGTCGTGGTCGGTCCCCTGTCCGTCCCTCTTGGGGTCGGGTTTCCGCCGGGCAGCGCTGCCGCTGGCCAAGCCGTCGGTCCGCGGCCGCCCCACCGCTTGCCGGGGCCCGACCTGCAGGGAAGAAATATATACCCCCAAAAGAAGCACAATCGAAGACGAAGAGGGCGGGTACCGAAGGCTCGGGCAATTCACGTTGAAAGACACTCGGGCAGATAACAGCGGACAGTCTTAACATGACTGTTGCTGCTAGTGGTGCTGTTGTTGGTGATGTTGTTCATGTTGAAGAAGAGCTCCCACCATTGAAGAATAATTATTGTTGATCCCCTCTCTGGTGACCATTGTAGTTCTTTGAATTGAAATGCTTCCCCCGGGGCTCGCACCCTGTTTTTAAGCATGGGAAGTCACGGGGCTCAAACTGTGTTGTTGGCCCCCGGTTTACAACGACAGCGGCTCCCGCCTGATACTTCCTCACAATTGATGCCCAAATCGCGCTCTCGCGCGGGACGTCCTCACCGCTCTCGCGTGTGACACCCTCGCAGTTCATTCAGACGAAAGCCCTCGGCGCTCAGGAATCACGCTCTCGCTGTTGCTTTTCTCACGATTTACTTGTGAATCGCGCTATCGCTCGAGCACTTCCTCGCGATACATGCAGGACCCACGCTTCAGCAACCTGCCTGCTCGACCTGGTCGCCTGGGCCCGCCTTCCCGACCTGCCCGCTATGGGTCTGCCCACCCGATCTGCCCGTCTGGTTCTACCACTTGGTTTCTGCTCCTTGGCCCCCTCCTGCTAATTTCTCTCGTGCTCCATTATTCTCCCTCCCCCTTCCACCTGTCTTCTCTTCGTTTGTTTTAGAAGCTGCGCTACATGCGCGTGGGAGGTAAGGAAGATATAGCCACAAGGGGGCACGATCGAAGACGACGAGGGCGGGTACCGAGGGTTTGGGATAGACGTATCGATTAGCACGTGCGCAGTTCGGAGCGAGCAGCCTTAACATGATGATTGTTGTTGTTGTCGTCGTCGTGCCTTTTTTTGCAAGGGGGCCCAAGAGACCCCCGGCCAGGGTGGTAGGTTGGGGCCGCCGGGTAGGGCGGCTATGCTGCAAGTGTGCCTAAAGTGGTTTCCAGGTCTGGTACCTCCTCCATGTCGCCAGCAGTGGTGATGCCCTGGACGGCGCTCTGGTTCTAGATGTTCCGCTGGCCTGGTTGATCCGATCCTCTCCCCTCCTTCCTCCTCCCTCCTCCTTTTCATCCTTCTCCTTCTCCTCCTCCTCCTCCTCCTCCTCCTCCTCCTCCTCCTCCTCCTCCTCCCTCCTCCTGCCTCCTCCTTCTCCTCCTCCTCCTCCTCCTCCTCCTCCTCCTCCTCCTCCTCCTCCTCCTCCTCCCTCCTCCTCCTCCTCCTCCTCCCTCCTCCTCCCTCCTCCCTCCTCCCTCCTCCCCACCTCCTCCCTCCTCCCTCCTCCTCCCTCCCCCCACCTCCTCCCTCCTCCCTCCTCCCTCTCCCCTCCTCCCTCCTCCTCCTCCCTCCTCCTCCCTCCTCTTCCTCTTCCTCCTTTTCATCTTTCTCCTCCTCCTCTTCCTTCTCCCCCTCCTCCTCCTCCTTCTCCTCCTCCTCCTCCTCCTCCCAACCCTGGATGCTCATTCTGGACACTTTCTTGGCACCACTCGCTCTACCCATGCGTTGCTGCTGCGTCGAACGTCCGTTGAGTAGGGTCGGATTCGATTCGAACTTGAGTCGAATTCGGTCAAATCCGAACTAGGGTCACGATACCGAAATTCTACCCACACACACCTCCGCCTCCAATTTGGTGTGTGTGTGTGTGTTTTTGTTGGGGTGTTAATTTAAGCTTCGCGCGGCCCGCTTAGCTTCGACCGGAAGAGGTGCGCTCTCGACCCGCGAATCAAAAAGTGTTTTTTTTTGGGGGGGGGGGGGGGCGGGGCGCCTCGCACTAATGGACACGTATGGCAGGAGATCCCCCTCAATGCACTGGCGCCACCTCGTTTTCCCCCGCGTCTGTCCTAAGCGGCCACCCCTTCGCGGGCACACAAGCCCAACCTTGACCCTGGGGGGGCTGTGGGGATTTCGGGGCGCCTCTGCGGAAATGGGAGCACCTCTGGTGACCTCAACAGGCCTCCTCGCTCCTTGCCTTTCGGGCTTTGGGGGCCCTCGTCGCCGCCACGACGGACTGCATAACGGTAACGCCTGGTCAGAATGGACCTTGCGCGGAGCAGGACAATTCTTGAGGCACCGGGAAAAGCTGTCCGACTCCGCAGTCGGCCAGTCGGCCAGTCGGCCAGTTGGCCAGTCGGGGGGTCGGCCAGTCGGCCAGTCGGCTAGTCAATGTCGAGAGACGGGAGGGGGTCGGATAGTCAATCCCGGTGCCCCAAAAATTGTTCAAGATGCGCGGGAGGGCTCTTGAACCCATCCCTGGATCTGTGTTTTTCATCGCGGGCTGTTCTCTGACGGCTGTGGAGACCAGACTGTCGGGGGTTGCTAGCGGTGGCCCTGGCCCACGGTGCTCCCGGCTTTGCGCTCAATTTTAGAGCCCCTGGGGCCCTCTGGGCCTCGTGGGGGGTGCTCTGGAGGCCGTGGGGGCCTCCTTGGAAATCCCGGGGGCACCGTGGGCCACGGGCACTTCTAGCAACCCTCGAGACTGGGCCGCTGAAGGAAGAAGACACGGCCACCACCCAGAACCGAGGAATCAGCGCCCCTCCAACGGGGACTCCACTAACGGGTACTTTGGCCAATGACCCCGCGAACCCAACCCTCACCGATGTGGACAACGCCGCAATGCCAGAAAGAGGCCCTGAAGTGGCAACCTTCGGCAACTTCCCGAAGTACCCGCTAGTGAGTGCCCATTCTGGCGTCGCTGAGGGAAACGAGCCCCAGGAACACCGGGCCCTGTTTTCACATGCAGCTCTGCTCCGGCAGGGGCAAAGAAAGGTTGCCGAGGGCCAGGGAGGAGAGGCGCGAGAGCGAGACGGGCCCCGCGACGCCAGACACGGACGCGCCGGAGAGCACAGGAAGCGCCAGTGGTTCCTCCTCCTCCTCCTTCTCCTCCTCCTCCTCCTCCTTCTCCCTCCCTCCCTCCCTCCCTCCTTCCCCTCCTCCTCCTCCTCCTCCGCCCTCTGCGCGGGATGCGCTGGGAGCGGCCCCGAGGCGACGTCATTAGCCCTCCGTGGGGACCAGCCCTTTGCACCCCGAGCAGCTCACTTGGCGGCCCCGGGCCCAGTGAGGGCCCCCAGGGGGCCTGAGAATCTGCAACTGTCTGACATGGTTAAGAGGAGGAGGAGGAGGAGGAGGAGGAGGAGGAGGAGGAGGAGGAGGAGGAGGAGGCGGAGGAGGAGGAGGAGGAGGAGGAGGAAGAGGAGGAGGAGGGAGGAGGAGGGGAGGAGGAGGAGGAGGGAGGAGGAGGAGGAGGAGAGGAGGAGGAGGAGGAGGAGAGAGGAGGAGGAGGAGGAGGAGGAGGAGGAGGGAGGAGGAGGAGGAGGAGGAGGAGGAGGAGGGGAGGAGGAGGAGGAGGAGGAGGAGGAGGAGGAGGAGGGAGGAGGAGGAGGAGGGAGGAGGAGGAGGAGGAGGAGGAGGAGGAGGAGGGGAGGAGGAGGAGGAGAGGAGGGCGGGCAGGAGCGAGAGAGGAGACGGTACAGGAGATCTCTGAGCTCTGGCGGCGCTGGAAGACGTATCGAGCGCCTCCTGGCCGCTCCGGAGCGTGCCGCGACGCTCTGAAGAGCGCCCATGGAAGACGTATCGAGCGCCTCCTGGCCGCTCCGGAGCGTGCCGCGACGCTCTGAAGAGCGCCCATGGAGCGCGCTGGAGCGATCTGCAGTGGGGGCCCGACCACAAGAAACGTCACGCCTTGGTGTGAGAACGTCACGCTTTCCATGGAGAAACCATCGACACCCAAGACTCCCAGCGCACCCTGGAGGCAAGCACGGTGTTTCTTGGCATGCGTCTCCAGTGCGTCCCGATCCTGGGCCCGACTGGCCTCGCTCCCTGGTGCTGTAACGAGCACACGCAAGGGCAGATGGCGAGGATGAGTATCCAGAACGAACGCAGTGGGGAAAACGATCGGTGAGAGGGGCCCAGCTGCAAGAGAGCAAGCGTAACATAAGCCAGAAGGCAATCAATCGACATCCTCCCCAAGCGTGACCGTTCCGCCATCTGGCACGGGCGGACTCTGAAGATGCACATAGCTGAGTCCTGCCGCTTTCCCATTCACCTCTCCGTCTGAAGCCTGCCCCAGCATCTCGATATTACTCCACCTGAGCTTAACTTGAGCTACGCTCTTCCGCTTCACCATGCTCGTTCTTGCTCGGCATGCTCGCAGCCGACAACCACACTTTCGCCACACTCGTTTGAGGGACTTTCATTGCGAACTCGCGCAAGTCTCACCCCTGGTACGAGAAACGTGAACACGCCGATCACGCTTACCGACACCGTTCCAGGGGGCACGCGGGAGATCACACTCCGATTTCGAGGTCGCAACTTTCGCTGGGACGTCCTCGCTCGACCTGCCGGCTCGCCCCGGTTGGCCAACTGACCCGAGTCGGCTTTCCGCTCACACCACGTGCTGACGCGCGGCCAGACGTGGACCGATGACAGGAGAGTCATGCATGCGCGACTCCGGCGCAATGTACAGGGCAGTTTTTCATACATAGGATGTGGAACACTTTAGGGTTTTAATAAATGATTAGTTCATGAATGCATTTATGCATGAACTCGTCGTTATGGTTAATACTAAATCCCTGCATGTTTAATACATGATCCGCACGCGGAGCATGTATAAAAAACGGCACTGTAAGCTAGACGCACAACACACACACAAACACACACACACAAACACACACACACAAACACAAACACAACTTCGCAACACGTGCGATGCGAGCGTCAGATCTCCAATGAAGATGGAACATGACCCCAACCTCATCCGCACCGTGGTACTCCCAACTCGCCCGTCGCATCTCCCGACCAGGCGCGCCGTTACTGCAGAAAGCTGCGTTTTCTAAACCAACATGGACGCAACATCAAAGTGTCCGTCGACAGATGAGCCATGAATCTGGACGGACGCACGTGGCAGAGGGGCTGCTTGCGCGCAGAGGCTCGAGTGTGAAGCAGAAGACAGGCTACACCATCAACAACTTCCTCCCCTCGGTCCCCCATCATCTGCTTGGCAACTGGTACCCACACAGGCGCATCGGCTGCCCCACCCGCTCACATGGGTGCCTCTCTCACTCCCTCCCTCCCTCCCTTTCTCCCCTCCCCCGCTACCCCCCTTGGGGAGAACGCAAGGTGTGACTGGCTCAGGGGGTGAAGCATCGATTTTTGGAATCGTCGACACATGACCGAAAGATCGATAGGCCCCCGATAGCCACATACTCCCGGGGGAGTTTGGGCTTTCGGACCCCTATTGCCGAGGAAACGGCGATAGGGGGTCGATGCGTCCCCCCTCGAATCTATCCCCCCCACCAACGTTGCCCCTGCCTTCCGGGTCATCTCTGGCGGCCGCTCAGGACGACGCGGGCACCCCAGGCACGCTCTCGGCGAGGCGCGGCCGCTCTGGAAGGCATCCCGAGGCCGGCAAACACTGCCCAGAACCGACGAAAGCGCCCAGAGCCCTCGAGCGCCGAACCTCGAAGCTCGAACCTATATACCACCCCTGAGCAGATCCCCCCCTGTCGCTGGTCCTGGCCGCCCCCACTCCTTACGCAGGGACCGACCGTCCCGGTATTCCTATAGGCCTACCACGAGATGTTCTCAGAGCCCAAAGATGCTCTAAGAACAAAGACGATGTTCCTAGGACGTAAGCCCGATGCGTTGAACCAAGACCGTCCCAGCCAGAAATGCTCTAAGAACATTTCGTGGAAACCACAAAAGGTTCTTAGAACATTGGTTGGTAGGCCTATAGGCACGC